GTTGTCTGTGCATTCAAGAGAATATATCAAAAGATCTCAAACATTTAAGAGATAGAGAAAGAGAAGTCTGTGATTCTTGAATAATTTTATTTTACACAGATGACAAGGAATGGGGAAAAGGAAAGAAAGAGGATTGCAGAACCAGAAAATCTACATGTTCCCACCTACTCTTAGCTGCCCACTGTTAACTCCCTGCTGGATGGCAACTCTTAGCAGAAAAGTAGTCTTCTGTCAATTGCTGAATCAGAATGTGTTCTTGTACTTCGAGACATTTGGGTTGTTCTTCAAAGACAAAGAGATCTGTAGCTGGATTAAGATGTATTTATTTATCGTATGTCACATTCACATCACATTTTGATAAAAACACAGGAGACAGAAATACAAAATATGAAATATAAAATCAAAAATATTATAAACTTATGTCTAGATTACAGGTATAGTTTTTGCTTCATTTGTCACACCAGGAAATCAGCAAATAGGCTCTATTTTGGCAATCTGACACTATGTGTTGTGTGGTTTGTTTTTCTGCCCCACAGACACAATTCCAGAATGGTATTTTACCGCACTTATAGAGATCATCTACACATCTACCACGGGCAGTGTGAATCCATCTTTCAATAGATTGAAGGGGTATAAATAAGGATAAAGATAGGACTCCGAAATATTTACTTATTGGATCTTTGACATCTTCTTCCATGGTTATTTTCTAGATTGAATTATTTTCAAAATCAAAACCAAAGACTCAGCTTCCCAAATATTCATGTTTTCCCATTCCAGAAAGCCACAGTATTATCTTAACATAAGAGCCCAAATTTTCCTCATCCAAACTTTAGTTCTTTTCCTGTGTAAGAAATTCTGAGCTTTAATAAATTTACTCAGCAGAATTATATAATAAAATCTTCCTTGGATTATGCCATATTGGCTGAAGGAGATAATCACATTTTGGAATCCTCCAAAATGTAAGGCTGTGCAGAATTTCTGATTTAATTCCCAGAGGTCCTTCAACTTAATATGTGTCTGCAACTCTTCAAAGCAGTGATGTCTCCTTGTGTGACTGCATAGCTAATATTTACTTTGAGTTCCACAGCTATGCAATTAATTTCTGATAACATGATCAGTTCCTCTGGTCATCTGCAGTGTACCTTTTAATTTTATAATTAACTCATTGTCATAGTTTGGAGAGTCCAGATCAGACACGGCTTCTAGCCTCTCCTCCTAGTTGACCATTGTTATCCTGCCCAGAATTAGGAATGGAAACCAAGCCTCATTTGTACAGCTGTCTGCCTTATTGCTTTTCTGTGGCACAGCTGTATGCCTCTAGTCTCCCTTGCAGTTGGCTCTGGGCCACGCCTCTGTGTGTTAACAGAGGGAGGGATTAGTCCAGAGAAACCTTGTGTTTTGCACTGTCAGGGTGGGGATGTTATGGGCTGTGAGTTGGTGGAAATCCTCAGGGTGCATTCCCCAGCTGTGAGCCTCTTCCTGAGTAGAGGCCCCATTCAATGCATCCCCTTTCATGTCTAATCTCCTGGCATGTGCCAGCTCTTTTGTTTGCTGGGCTCACATCCTGGCTCCTTTCCCTGCGAATTGTGTATGTGTGTGTATGCGCACATGTACGTATGTACGTGTAGGAGATTGCTTGTTTTTTTGGTTAAAAAGGAGGTAATCAAAGCCATCCTTGGGGGACTGGCCTGGAGGCCTTTCCCATCTGAAGGCCTGTTCCCCCTGAGTGGGGCCAAGCTTTTTAATATCCTGTCTGACTGGTTTACTCCGGACTATAACTTGAAGAAAAACATCGGCAGACATCCTACAGGAAAGGAGCTGTGGATGTGCAGCCAAATGCCTTAACCTTTTCATGTCTGGGGGAGCAGCAAACACTTCACATATGTGCTGGGTATGCTTTTTTTTGTTATTGTTGCCCAGTGCACATGCAACTCTGGACCAGCCATTATGGTTTGCCAGGATTCATGTGACTTCTTCCCTTGCAGCTTTTCAATGCAGCAGTACAACCTCCAAGTTACTCTGTCCCCAAACTTTTCACTGTCTCCAACCTTAAAATCACCTTTCCCCAGATTGTTAAGGATTATCTCCCTGTCTTATTTGTGTCTGGAGTCAGAGCTATTTCTTCAACCAGGAGTCATGGGAATCAAGCCTTTTGAAATAGGCTGTGCCAGGGTGTATCAATAAACTTATTTATGTACGTGAGTATCAGGAGGATTGATGCATTTCATGGAGCTAGAGGACAGCCTGCTGGAAGTTTAGAGGGTGGTCTCCATGTGAATCTAGATGTCATTGGATAGAATTTTCCTTAGAAGTGTCTATGTGGTATTATCTGTGGTGCATACAGGTTCTAGATAAGATATATAACTACATACAATTACATTGTACTCTCTTATCTTTTGTGCCATCTTATGTATTACATTAGGGTTCTGCTAAACAACACAAAGACATGAAAATTAATAAAAATGGTAAACTATTAATTTTAAACCAAATGTTTTTTACACAGTAATAGAGTGATGCTACTTTTTAATCTTTTTTATGACAAAATGCTTAAATAAAATAACAGGCTATACCAACATTCAATTTGGCATAAAAACCTAATGGAAGAGTGTAGTCGACCCTCATAGATGGAAGAAAAGACTAAAAAGTAACTTGGAAGGGTAAACATTCAGAGGAAAAGGCCTTCACCCATTATACCATGGAAGGCCTGCCAATGATCTCAGCATGATAGCAGCATTGTAGGGAAATCAGCCATCCCCCAGATGGATTGGCCCCAATTTATTATGGTTTTAAAAATGAAAAGGGTTTTTTCCCGAATTGGAAACAAACTGCAAAGCAGTCCAAATTCAAAAATGTAGAGCAATATATTCCATGTAACAGATCTCCAATACCACCCAGGCAGCAGCATTTTGCATCGGTTGTCTTTTCCAAATGTAATTCAAAAGCAGCCCTCACTGTACTGATCCAACATGAACATGGCCAAGATTTATACGCCAAATTAGGCTGGCTTCTGACAAATTCAGGCTATCCTCACTACAACCTTGAAGATTGGTTAAGCAGAGAGATTGAATGATGACATCTAGCGAGCTTCCTGACCAATGGGAATCTAAATCCAGATCTCAGGCTAATATCTTGAACACAAAGCAACAGTAGCTTACCAGCCAAATCAGAACAAAAATATTACACCACTTGTTTGACACTTGACAGGCATAAACCAAGGCTGAGTTCAGGAGAATCATCAAATTGAAATATATAAAGAGGACTTGCAACCCCCAAATAGGAGAAGTGCCCAGTTTCAGTTTCCTTGCTGAGAAATGCCACCCTTTTATCTGGATTGCCCCAATTGCCCTTTCCTTCACTTCTTTAAGTGCCTCTTTCATTTTGCCTGCTGATGAGTTCTGTATAACTTGGAAGCTTGCATGTTTTTATGCTGATGGAATTTTGATGGATGGAATTCTTTCCTTGTCTACTTTTGAAGACTGGCCTTTCAGAATCCTGGCTGTCCATTCCCCATGTTACTCAATAAGACAACATTTTATTTTAGAAGCTGAGATAATAGCTCATTTCCCACTCTCATTATCCCGGTTAAATAAAACCATTGTTAATTCTTAAACTATTTATCCATTTTTCTCTAGAAATTATTAATTAGGGGCATTCAAAAACTGTTTAAGCCTGTTTGCCATTAATTATTTCTATGTCTAACTAATATTAAATATCTGTTATGGCTCAACTTGAATATTTTGTCCCTTTCTTGTCCTTTGATGGATAGATGATTTCCTATTGTATACTATATAATTACTTAGTGGGAATTAATATGAACAAGAAGACGGAATTAGTTATTGTTTTGCTGAAAGGAAAAAGCACTCTGTGTGTGCTCTGAGACATATTTTTAAATTATGGTTTTATCATTCCTCACTCAAATCCAACCCTTTTTGCTTTCAACTCCAGGAAGCCTAATTATTGCTGTGCTGCTTGCCTTCCTTCCCTGCTGCTTCTCTCCTCCACCACCTTAAGCTGCAACACCAAGATTTAATGCACCTGGGACTGGTTATGGCTGGCTTAACTGGCCTGAAAATGTCAGATTGCATCTTGAAAAGATGCCATCCCTCTTTTGCAGAAAGCATGCTGGAGGCGGCTTTCAAAACTTTCAGGCCTTCAGGTTTACAGAATTGGGGCTTTTCTTACTCATTGGGCTACTGCGTTCCTTTTCCATTTTCCTTGTGAAGTATCTGCTATGTTAAAAGCTTTTGGGTTGCAAAATCTGTCTGACCAAAATATAAGTTACTGGAAAGCATTCCCCAGCAGGACATGGTGAGATGGTTCACTCTTAAATGATGTTGTTAAAACCACAAAGTGGTGGTCCCAAGAAGCTAACTGGTGTTTATATCGAGACTGTCTTTGATCAGCAGTCTTTCCAGGCTTTGCAGAACATTTCCCCTTCTCCATTTCCATATTCCTTTCTGAAAATCCATAGTCAGAGCAAGATCCACTTGAATTACAAAGACAGCAATCAACTTGTTATTGTAGATAATTTTATACATGTATCTTCATCTTGTCATTCATGCCAATATTCTTCAACAGAAATGTTTTAGATTTTTTTTTTTTAAATCTAAAACAATGGTATGGTAAATTAGAGTAAGCATTTCTGGTATGCAAGCATTATAAGAGCATAAGTTCTTGCTGAGTCCTTCCTCATTTATGTCCATTTTGCAAGAGATCAGAATCACATTCCACATCAAGAGCATTAACGTGTGAATGAGAAGCCAAGATAGAACTCTGTGAACCAATCTTTCATCTTTTTTTCCCCTAGAACATATTAAACCAAATCCTTTTAACAGCATCATTTCATATCGAGCACTGGAAAATCAAGCAATGCCATGCACATTTGGCTCAAAAGTAGTGTAACTAAAGGGAATTGATTAAGTAACTCACATATAGGTTCCAGATAGATTTGAAACCTCACCAGTACTTTCATGTGTTTTTTTTTCTCTCTTTTTCTGTAGCCATTGAAACACAAAGTACCAGCTCAGAAGAAATTGTACCCAGTCCTCCTTCACCACCCCCACTGCCCCGAATCTACAAACCCTGCTTTGTGTGTCAGGATAAGTCATCCGGCTACCACTATGGTGTTAGTGCCTGTGAAGGATGCAAGGTGAGAGTCCAAATAGATGGAGGCATATCTACAGCAGGAAAGCTAAAGAGAATAAGGGTCACTCAAATATACAGGTTCCAAAGAAGAATTGTGGAATGCAGAATCCTAACGCGAGCACTGAGATTTAGAGGAAGTCACAAATGTTAGAACACAGTTTCTAGTATCAGCTATGACCCAGAAGGACCATTTTCTCTTCTCTTTTCCAACTATTCCAGAGTGCTTCAAGAATGTTTGATGAAGTGTCCAGTCATCATCTGGCAACTGTCATCATGGGCTTTGCCCATGTCAGGTGGCTTTAAGAATGTGGAGGAGCAGAACTGTGTTTCTTACAGAGCTGGGAAGATTTGAGAGTAATGCCAAGCTCCTAATCCCTCTACTTCTCTAGGAAATGCTGAGATTTGTGCTTTGTTGGCTCTATACAACTCCCATTATATATAACCATTTGCTTCGTTGGTGGGGCTGGTTGGAACTGTAATAGAGGCTACCAGTTATTTACTTCTTCTTTGCTCCATTCATGATATGTTATCTATTATTTTTAAATGTACTCCTCAGTCCAGTATATAAAAAAGACGAACTGCTGTGACATTACCTGTTCAGGCAAATGCTCCCACTTGTACTAAGCCATCACCATGACTTTGTGAGTTAAGCTGTCAGAGATCAGACTGGGGAGGAAGACATGGCCCAATCAGCTGATCTTTCCCTCCAGCTCATTAACAGAGAACTCTATATGCCTCTGACACAAAAGGAAGGGTTTTCTTCCTCTCCACCCCAAGTCCCTTAATCTCATTAAGGGATTCATTCCCCTGGGTTCCTGAGCAGCAGTCTGGCTGCTTCTGTGTTTACCATCTCCTCCTCCTTCCCTTTCCATATCAATTGACTTCTGCTTTAAGTGCACCAGTCAGGTGCATCAAGAGCCCCCTTTTTGTTAACAATAAAAACTATTTCTCTACTACTTTTTGGTTTCAAAATCAGATTAAAATTGTAAACTTACTTTTAGAAATTGGTCTTGGATGATTTATACATGTGGGGGCTTTTGGTTTCAAAGAGAAGGCACTATTAAATTAATTTTAATTAAATAAATTTAACTAAAATTATTAAATAATTTAAAAATAATAATGAAATAATTTTTCCTCTTCCTTTCTCTATTAGATTTTCCTTGGTAAAAACTGTAATTTTTTGCATTGTTCTGAGTATGAAATCTGTGTTTCCCAAGTTAGGTGGGTTGTTTTTGAAGGTAACATACAGTCCAAATATATGAAGCCCAATTTTCATACAGTTAGAGATCCAGTTTGGTCTAGTGCGGGTGTCAGCAACCCATGGCTCCGGAGCCGCATGTGGCTCTTTGGGCCCTCTGCTACAGCTCCCTATCGGGTGACCCCACCCCTGGCTGGCCCCGCCCCTCGCCCTCCCCTCCTAGTCACTCCTTGCTTGGTCTTAGAAGTTAAGAGCTATGGCGGGGGATGGAGAAGTGGCCGGGGCTGATTCTCCATTGCCTCATCTCTTGCTGGCGCTTCTTCCAGCCCTTATTGGTGCTGGGCATGCCTCGGTCACTTGGGAAGATACGCAACCTGCTCTCTGCATTGAGACACTGGCCCAACCTGGCCACAACCGATGCCTGCCTCGCTAACACAAGGGCTGGCTGGGTGGGAATGGGATCCGAGAGGAGGGGATAACAGAAAGGGGGACGGGCCTGCAGCACCCAGCTGTGGCTTTAAAACTTGCACGGGGGACTTTCGCCGCCTGGAGGATGCTTTTCAATGAAAGCCAGTGGTGGCACCACTCCACTGGAGAGGTAAAGAAGCTCAGGGCAGTGAGAAAAGGGGGCTGGCCCTGCTGAACCTCGCACACCCACCCTGAGGGTCAGGCTTGGAGAAAGACGGAGCACCCTTGCCAAAGACGCTCACCCATCAGCCAGTCAAACCATCCATCCCGTGCACCTTTGCTGTGCTTTGCTTGAGCCCGGCCGCTCGCTTGCGGAGGGTCTCCCTGCTCATGCGCACCCTCCCAGCCCTGCCACAGCTGGCCAGGGGGTCGTGAAAGGAGAAGGAGGGAAAGGAGGAGGGTTGCTCGTTCCTCAGCCAGCCCGGATTTCCAAAAAGTTGCCAAGAAGAAAGAAAAGGAGTAGCGAAGAGCCCAAGGAGAGTCACTGGGTTGGCCCAGCCTTGGCTTTCCGAGAGAGATAAAAGAGAGAGAGAGACACACACAGAGAGACAGAGAGAGACAGAGACAGATATAGAGAAAAGGGGAGAGAGGAGGAGAGAGAGGTACAGAGAGAGAGATACAGAGGGGAGGGAGAGAGTGAGAGGGGGAGAGACACATACAGAGAGATACAGAGAGAGGGGGGAGAGGGGAAGAAGCGAGGGGGAAAGAGAAAGATACAGAGAGAGGGGGAGAGGGGAGAGTGGGTAGGGGAGAGAAAGAGATACAGAGAGGGAGAGAGAGATGTCAAAAGGGTTTTATGGTTCCCGGTGTTTTTAAACAACCGGTTCTCTGCCCTAATTACTGGCTGGGTAAGCGTGGCTGTCATGTGACTGGGAGGGAGGGAGTAACGGTGTGTTGGCCACACCCACCCAGGTTTTGTGGCTCCTGGTGTTTTCTGTGGGAAACAGGTCCAAATTGCTCTTTGAGTGTTCAAGGTTACAGACCTCTGGTTTAGTGGTCTAGTGGGTGCTATTCGCAGGTACGTGCACCCTCTGCGAATGTGCTCAGGTTTCACACTGCTCCCCCCTGTGCACTGTGTGCACAATTGTACCCTCTGCACGCAATGCATGCACGCAAATGCTGTCTGTGCATGTGTGCGCTGGACACCAGTACTCTCGCATGCATGTGCAAACATGTGCGCATGCGCAGGAGAGCTCCAAAGATCAGCTGGGTCCCCTGAATTGCACACATGTGCACCGGAAACCGAACACCAGCTAGGGTATGCGTACACGCTCAGCTGCAGGTGTGTTGGGTGACAGCTTGCGTGCCAGAAAAATGACTCTGTGTGCCACTTCCAGCAGGCATGCCATAGGTTCACCATCACGGGGTTAAGGCATCACATTATAACTAGATCATGAGTTGTAGTCCCATTTTAGACACAAAGGCAGCTGGGTGAACCAGTTCTGATATGTATGTATGTATATACGAATGTATGTTTGTATGGAGAGGGGGGGGAGGGGAGGTAGGAGGGGAAAGAGAGAGAGATTTAATGGAGTGGTAGGGCAGTGGAGCGTCTGTACTGGCAAATGGCCTTTTATGCATACACATCCTGTATTTAAAATGTGCTTAAAAATCATGAAGATTTACCAGGTTTATTCATTTGGGGTGAAGTTGTTACTGACTAAACTGCAGTTTTTCTCCACTGAATTGAGGATTGAGGATTAACGGCATTCCTTTTTAAATTCCACGATTTTTTGGAAGACAGAACAGAAGACTAAATTGATTCTCAGCACACCATATGTAAGAAGATTTTAGTCTGTAAGAAGATGGTCTGTGTGTGTGAGACAAAATCTTACATAATATGCACACTCAGCCATCACTATCTTTCTAAATTATCTCTCTATAAATTTAATTCCAGTTAATTCTGTAACAGATCTAATAGGTCAGGAGCTATGACTATTATTGAGGTAGAGGAGAATTAGGCATGTCTGTTACTGATTTTTTAGTATTTATTTTCATCTGCAATATGAGATAAAAGTATTGACCTATTTTATAAGGCTATTATAAGGATTATTGAGAAAAATAAATGTCCTGTACTATTTGGACAATGAAATAGCTATAGGCACATCTTATATCATATAGGTCATATAACTTTGTCATCTTGTTGAATTTGAGCAGGTTTTGGATGACAGATAATACAAGGACCTCATATTATTTGCATTGTATTTGTATTGATGGTTGCTTTTTTCACAAAAGAAAGCAAATATACAGAGTTCTTTTGTTTTGTTTTTATCCTGGTTGCTTATTGACTGTTTATTTTGTATTTTTATTGCTGATTTTTTTTTATTGTATATTTTTTGTACTCCTCCTAGCCACTTAGGGTCAGTTTGAGATGGGAGACCACAAAAATTGAATGAATGAATTGACAAATATTCTGCTATACTGAACACATGATAGATAATTCAATGTGCTTCATGCTATTATTGATTTCTGAGCCCATTTTAATACCTAAGATCTCAAAACATTATACCCAGTTTTTGAAACGATTGAATTGTATCATTTTTAATACCATTAGCTAAATCTGCCCAGAAATGCCAATCACAAGTGACATGATAATTGTCTAAAGCCTAGCACTAAAGTTATGGTAATTCTGAATTGGAAACATTATGATTTTTTTTTTTTTAATGCTATACCTGCTCTCAAGGAGCAAGGATACTACAGCAAAGTGAAGAAGCCAAGCCATATGTTTTCACACCGTAGGAAAGAGAGAGTTGACTTGCTCATGCCATTTTTTTTCTTCTCTGAACCCTACAGGGCTTTTTCCGTCGTAGTATCCAGAAGAACATGGTATATACCTGTCACCGGGACAAGAACTGTATCATCAACAAAGTGACCCGGAACCGCTGTCAGTACTGCCGCCTACAGAAGTGCTTTGAAGTTGGCATGTCCAAAGAATGTGAGTGAATGGCGAAGAAAAGAAAAATGGGGTGGCCAAATTGTTGACCATTAGTTAATATTTTGTTATAATAGGAAGTTTCAAATGTCCATCCATATGAAAACCCAGACTTAAATTTCAGTTTTCCATTGAAAGTTAGAAGCCAGTTTACTAAGGCATTTTCAAATTATAATTCAAATCAAAATGCTGCGATATAAAATCGCCAACTATATAGAATTCTGAAGGCAAGAACTTCAGTGGTCCTAGAAGGAAAGAAGGAAATGAACCGACAGGGAGAAGTTGAAATGGGTTAGAAAACAAAGATGAAGGAATTGCTGATTCTGTAATATAGAGAGAACAAAAATTAAGATGAGAGAGGCAGGTTGTCTAACTGTACGAAAAAGCAGATTTCTTGTTATCATTTATTATGGAAATAATAATTAGTCTTACAACAAAAATTAATCCCATCTGATATTATCTGGAGGAACTAGACTCTAATTCCCATAATTCCCAACTAGCAATTGCACATTAAGGGAACGATCCCAATGGAGAGAGCATCAGCTAGGAAAAAGACCGATTTGCTGATTCTATTTTTTTTTTTTTTTAAATAAAATGGTACGTTAGGTGGGAGAAATGGATGACTCTTTTCTCTGTCACTGGTTCTTAACTGAGCTACTCTTCAGAAAGTTGGCATTAGCATATTTTGTCAAATAGCATTCTCTTTCCATCTAAAAGAAAAAGAAACCTGGGAATTTTTCTAGTTTTTTCCCAAAGGCCTGGTGCAGGGGGCTTACCCCTCTGCTTTGTTCTAATTTTGAGGGTGTTTCCCCGGCAACCATGATTGATGATGTCAGAGATAAATGACGCAGACAGGACCCTCCTGGCGTCTGCAGTGCTTAGTTGTCATGGCTCCCGACTGTAATGGGCGGGGGACAGAACCCCAGTTTGCAAGGGTTGGACTGATAAATCCATGAAATGAAAAGAAATGTCTCAAATGTGTAAAGAATCTATGGTTAATTTGGGGCATCCCAAATCCTATTGTTTCTTTTCCCCCGTTCATTCAAAAGTGAGGAGAAGAGGATGATCGAAAAGGGGCAGACTGTATTCTTTGTGACTTTATGTTCTCTTCGGCTTGCTAACAATATGGAATCCAGGAGGGTGACTGTATATTTCCAAGACCTACAGAGGATAGAAAAAGTGGGGATGAAAAGTTTGGTTTGGTTTGGTCTCCTTCCCCAGATTTTAACAAATAGCGCATGCTACCTGCTGATGAAGCGTGTGGCTAAGGATTCCATTATAACCAAGGACTTTCTGAGGGCTCAGTGAGAAAATGGAAACATCCATCTTGGATAGAGAGCTCCACCTTTTTGCTAGGCATTGTGGGGGGAAAAGGGAGACATTTCTGGTAGGCAAAAAAATAAAAATAAAAATACAGTGTGGTAGAGAGAGGCCAGGAATTGCAAATGTAGACCACTTTAACTGAGACTGCTTTCAAGATGTGTGTGCGTGCACACACATGCACACATCCCACAGTGTGCTTTTGAATCCCTCCCTTACTCATTTCTTTTGGTGTTCTTCATTTTTCCTCATGCCAGCTGCTTTTTCTTACCCCACAACCTCTATGTGATGATGGATGCACCATCCCCCCCCCTTCTTAACTGGCTGTCTGGTCTGTGCTTTATTGAATTTGCCAGGCAGACATGACTGATTTCCGAATTATCCCCCACCCCCTCCTTCATCAGGCAGGACGGTGATATGTACCAGCCTACCCCAAGCAAAAGACACATCTGGCATTCCCTCACCACTTGTATTAATTTAAAGGAAGATTCTTTTTCCTAGAAAATAAAAGTCAAGAAACCTTACAGTTCGAAAAGGATTGTTTTGCTTCCTCCACCAGGATATTCTCATATGGATTCTTTATAAAAATACACCACACAGAAAACGACAACAGCAAACGAGGCTTTGTAATGCTTCCATAAATCCAGCATGCAGAAAAGCAGTACCTCAAATCTGATACACCTGCATATTGCTTTTTGCAGCCAACATTACTTAATGTTGTTTGTTTTAAAATAATTTCCATTATTTTAGGAGCTGTTGTCTGAATTTCTTTTGACTGTTGGAATTTGAAGCTTCACTTGTTTTAAAGTTTCTAGTAGGTTATTTCTTTTAAGTTAAAAGTCTGGAATAACATATCTAATTAATTAATTAGTCAAGCAAAGTAAAATTCTCTTAGGTTAGCTCATTCTTAAACAATTCACACTGAAAGTGATCTAAGAATGTTCGTGTTTAGGTTAGTGAACAAGTAGTAGATAGTTAGTAAAGTGTGTAAAATGGCAGGCTGAAATAGGTTTTAGGAAGCATTAATAGAGAGAAAGAAAAAGATGAGGTATGAAAATTTTCTTGTATACCATAACAGACAAGGCAGAGATCATGAGAGCAGGCCAGCTTAGGTTGGAGGGTTGTTCATCCATTTTTTTCCTAATTAAAATAATCCCTTTGATTCAAACATTTCTTTCTTTCTTTCTTTCTTTCTTTCTTTCTTTCTTTCTTTCTTTCTTTCTTTCTTTCTTTCTCCTACTTTGCTGCTGAATTATCAGGTAACTATAATGGACTGGAAGTAATAACCTCTTTCTGATAGACAAAAACTTTATTTTGGTCATTGACCAAAAAAAAGAACGTTCAATAAAATGAATAACACAATTTCCCCCAGAACAAGAACTGTTAGCAGCTATTTGTGGGTGAAGCTTACGCATAATATAGCAATATTTCCCTTTTTTTAGAGACATAAATTTATTGCGATTGTTTAACAGATAAAAGTTATCAGGGTTCTCCATAAATTTAAATAAAAGAGCGGTAATCAATTAGTGGTGAATGTCCTTGTAGAACTGACAATACAGAAGAAAGGAACTGTAGTTTCTATTGTAGCCATATTATAAGGGCAGTATTGGGTTTCATATGGGATTTTCTAGATTTCCCTTCTAGGACAGCTGTGGGGAAAGAATTCAATCAAATGAAAGGTCTCTTTGGTTTGTATAAATTGATAGAAATACTTCCTCAGTCCTTTAGTTACTGTGTGCTTTGATTGCTGTAATATGTGGGCAAGAACTTAGAAGAAGGGTTGACAGCTGCTGCTTTTAATCTTGAGTGCTGAGTTGTGCTTCCTGGTATGCACAATGGATAGCAAACTCATATTCTGGCCAACTGTATTGGGTATTGAACTTCTTCTAGGCTGAATTCTGGAGCCTGTATACTTTGGAAAGACCACCTTCCATTTATTCCTCCTGGGTCCCTTTGATCTTCTCTGGAAATGGGGCTATTAATTGTGATGAGAAGGTATAAGGTAGTGCTCACATTCTTTTTTTTTTAATTTGATTTATATGCCGCCCTTCTCCAGAGACTCAGGGTGGCTTACAATGCGTTAAGCAATAGACTTCATACTTTTGTATATTTATACAAAGTCATCTTATTGCCCCCATAATCTGGGTCCTCATTCTGGAATATCTTTATCTACTGAAGGCCAATTTCACATTTCAATGGCTTCTTAAAGCTTCAGTTTTCATTAGAATGCTTTTCATGATGTTTGCTGACTTTTATGTTAATAGTTTGAAGGCACATTTAGATTGTTATTAAATTTGGAATTGAATAAGGAATCAGAATAATTCAAAAATATTGTGGGAATAAGGAATCTCTCAGAACTGGATAAAATTATATTTATCTTTGAGATTTCTTTTTTGTTGCCTTGGCTTTAGTTTGAACATATTCATGCACATGCATACATAGGTATCATAAAATCGTGTTTTTGTTTTCTCCACAAAAGGAACAAGTTATTGGCTTATAAATATGATTCTTTGGTGGATTGGATGCATTATTTATTTATATTCTTAGTTTGGAATAATAGGCAAGAAATATTTTTACTTCCCATTTAACATGCTTTTGCACTATTGTAACTTGTGCTTAATGTTACTACTTGGAGCACATCATGGCACTGTGTATTGGTTTGGAGCTAAGAAGGACTGTTGTTAGTAGTTAGGAGGCATTTAGGTAATCTACAAGATGTGAAGAAAGCATCTTTTACTGTTTTTTGATGGCTGCAGCCCTCTTAACACTGATCCTTAACTTTTTGGAAACCAAAAGTCCTAGGGAACATCAGCTGCATGATAGAGAAATCTGGTTTAGCCTTGTATTTCCAAATCTGATTCTTTCTTCCAGAGAAGATGGTGATTAAAAAAAATCCATTACTTTTTCTCTCTGGCTGAAATTCCTTCTGTTGTATAAATATATTCCATCCTGGTATATTTTTTTGTTATGTATTTTTTGTTCTATCCTTCCTTTATTAAATTTGCTTCTACACAATATGGGACATTATTTCAAAATTTCTAGTTAACTATTATTCAGATTCTAGGAATGTACAATTGGCCTGGGACTTTTCCTTCTTTCAACATCCCCTTTTAAATGCATATTTTAAATCTCCATTTCAGCACCTTCTTGCAAATGCTACATAGCTTCTTTTGTCCTCTGACCCCTGCTGCTTTCTATCAAGCATTCCCATTTAGTTCTTCTTCTTCCTAACTCAGCAACTTCATTGTTCTTCCTTCTCTTTGCCTTCTCTCTGTACTCTTTCAGGAATACAGTTTTTTTCCCCCCAGTCAATGTTTAAATATTCCCAACTATCTGGATAGTATCTTGAATTCTGTTGAACCTTATCTACTGCCAATTTACTTTGACCATTAGTAGGTCAGATTCTTGTAGAGAGCTTAAGCATACAATAAACTATATATTCATTTGAACTGCCTGAGTTTCCTGATTTTTTGTGTTTGACACCTGACTTGGTGTTGAATAGATTACGACCTCCATAATTTCCAACCAATATCACCAGTATTGTTGAGAAAAAAAGTTTTTATTCCATCTGAAGAGTACCAGGTTGAGAAATGCAACATTTTCTTTTAGCATCTCTTTATTTTTGATGCTCAAATTAAATCAGCTATATGTTGAATAAGTGCCATTAGTAAAAATTACTAATTTTTGAGGATCATTGACTTTGTAATAAAAATGAAGATAGGAGGTGGGATGAGATTCCCAAATGATCAGCAACCAAAAACAAGGGGAAAAGTACTATATGTATATTTTTTGAAAAGGAAAAATAAACTTGTATCAGCTGTACTGCTACCATTTGCAGAAAGGCAGGATACCTCCTCCTTTAGCCAGATTATCTAACCAGTTCTTGCTAGTGCCACTAACTCAGTTTTCAGAATTGATTATCTGATTCCAGAAATCTCTATTGTATGTTAAATTAACTGTATCATTATCATCATCATCAGAGCTGTGGTGGCTCAATGGTTAGAATGCACTAATTCAGGCTAATTCTGCTGATTGCCAATTAGCAGCAGTTTAGCAGTTCACATCTCACCAGGCTCAAGGTTGACTCAGCCTTCCATCCTTCCGAGGTCAGTAAAATGAGGATCCAGATTGTTGAGAGCAATATGCTGACTCTGTAAACTGCCTAGAGAGGGCTGTAAAGACTGCGAAGTGGTGTATAAGTCTTGGAAAAGAGCCGAGGTGGCGCAGTGGTTAGAGTGCAGTACTGCAGCTACTTCAGCTGACTGCTAGTTCAGCAGATTAGCGGATCAAATCTTACCGGTTCAAGGTTGACTCAGCCTTCCATCCTTCCGAGGTGGGTAAAATGAGGACCCAGATTGTTAGGGGGCAATATGCTATTTAGTATACTGTCTTTGGTGTAAGCCACCCAGAGTCCTCGGAGAGTGGGCGGCATAGAAATATGACTAATAATAATAATAATAATAATAATAATAATAATAATAATAATAGTTATTGCTACTGCTATCATTTTTATAAATCTGCATGAGAAATGGATTGGCTGCTCATTGAAGTTTGATTGTTTGTTGTCCCTTTGATTTCTTTTGAAGCTGTCCGGAATGATAGGAACAAGAAGAAAAAAGATGCTCCAAAGCAGGAATGTTCAGAGAGCTACATCATTACACCTGAGGTGGAAGATCTCATCGAGAAAGTGCGCAAGGCTCACCAGGAGACCTTCCCTGCCCTCTGCCAGTTGGGCAAATACACCACCGTGAGTGACAGCCAAAATAAGGGCCAAAGAAGACTGGGTGGGAAAGTTCAGCAGGACAACTTTTCCCAAACTTGATACCATGAATTGGCATCTTAACACCTGTCACTCAAGCCTTTGCAACCCATTAGAGAAATTTGTAAAATAATAGATGATTCAGAATTAAAGTCTTAGATGTTCTGAACAGAGATATAAACAGTCCTCTGTTTTGTTAATTTTATGCTACTGTTTGGACTAAGTGGTCTATTTAGCTTTCTTGGCTTTCATCAGGCAATTTTCTACATTTAAAAAAAAAACATTTCTTTAGCAATAAAGATGAAAAATCATCTTGTCCATTCATTTGGTTGTACAGAATCTACTAAAAATGGCATTCAGCTTATGTTTTTTGAAAGTAAGAGCAGAAGTTGTCATTTCTGTTGGTAGAATTGGCTCAACTATTCCCATATAAACTTAATTTATTTAATATGTAATAATTAGTTATGTTATAGCTAGAAGAAGATACAGGAAACTTCGGACAATTTTTGAGGGAGAACGGGCAATTCAGAATTGATTGATTGATTACTCAGGGAATAAAGCTGTTTATTCTATGAGAAGACAAAATATCTGAACCACCAGAAATTACCTGGGAAATATTTTTTAAAAACTTCCACTTCAATAGATCATGTTAAGCCGTGATTTATTATAGGCATAGGTCATTGAACAAATTCAAGTCAATTTTTTAGATAAGAAGTATAATTGTGGCTTCTTTAGCTAATCCCTTATCTGCTTTTTCTCCTTTTTACCTGTTTTTGTCCTGCACTGGCATAGTTACAAAATAAACTCAGGAAGCCATGTAAAGAAAGTATTGCCTTTCTCACATCACACAAAGAATTATAACCCATATGCTAGTATCAAATTCTGGATTCAAGCATACGGGTTTACTGCTGTAAAACAAATGCAGTAAATGCTTGTTTTGTCAAATGCAATTCCTTTTCTCTTTCCCTGTCTCCAATAGAACAACAGTTCAGATCAGCGGATATCTCTTGACATTGATCTGTGGGACAAATTCAGTGAATTGTCCACAAAGTGCATCATCAAGACAGTTGAATTTGCCAAGCAGCTGCCAGGCTTCACCACACTCACAATTGCTGACCAGATTACACTCCTCAAAGCGGCCTGCCTCGACATCTTGGTAAGTAGATGGGTTCTTTTCCTTTTCAAACAAAGCTCAGCAATTAAAAAAAAAAAAAGAGGAAATATATACAATTATGGAATAGTAGGTATTAATTAACATTCAAGCCATACTTTCACAGGATCAGCCCAAGGCTAAAGGAGAATGTTGTGGTAGTACCCTATCTCCATTTCTTACATACATAATCATTTTTTGGAGAACTAATTTGATCTAGTGGGCAAGGCACCAGATTAACAATCAGGACATTGAGTTATAGCCCGCTTTAGGCATGAAAGCTGGCTGGGTAAACTTTGGTCCAGTCACTCTCTTCATAACCAATGGATCAATACTTGGTTGATAAAAAAAAACAAAAAACCAGACCCTGCACTTGCGAGAAAATGATAGGAAGAAACAAAAAGTGCTGTTCATCATACTTATGGTGATAAACTAGGAGCTCAGGACAGGTGTTAGGTCATACATAACAATGTCCAGCAGAACAGAGTGGCCAGGATATTAAGAGGATAGTTTGAAAGGTAGCTATTGTGTCTTCCCAGAGATCTGCCACCTGAAACAGATGATGTACTCTTGTCTAACAATAGTACAAGTCCTGCAGCTGAATTTTGCAGTAATATATTACACACTGAATGTGATCAATGTTACAGGTAGAACATAGAAATGATGGGGAACAACTGTGGTGAATACCTCTAACATGCTTCCCATCACAGATCCTTCGGATATGCACACGCTACACACCAGAGCAGGACACCATGACCTTTTCTGATGGCCTGACCCTCAACCGCACTCAGATGCATAATGCAGGCTTTGGACCCCTCACAGACCTGGTCTTTGCCTTTGCCAACCAGCTGCTGCCACTTGAGATGGATGATGCTGAAACCGGACTCCTCAGCGCCATCTGCCTCATATGCGGAGGTGAGTGCCATTACTGGGCCAATAAATAATAAATAGGATCAAGATTAAGTTTTGGACATTTGCATATTTTCAGGGCTTGCCTATGGAATGCACAGAGGCATTGACCCTTACCTGCCAAAGGTAGAGAGCAAGCTATCCATGCTGTGCATGTATGTATGCAGCCAGATACCTTGATTTCATATAGCTAAGAAAAATGTACATTGCACAGCACTCTGAAGAGAAGTGTCATAATACCTGCTCAGACCTACTGTTTCTATGTGTAGCATCTCCTGAGTAAATATGAAAACTCTGTAAATGCCAGCCACTGTCACAACTGACCCAAAACTAATTTTAGTTAGCTCCTAATAATATTAATACTCAGGTTTATTCCTTTTTCTTGCTTTTGTGCCTGGAAATATTTTCTTTGGAATACTCCTCCATCTATCGCTATAAAATGCATGCAGTAGCATTAATATCTACAATCTAGGCTTCTTAATCTGTTATCTTTTACATTCGTGTTTCTCATTTTCATGCTGCTCTGGAGAGTTCTGAGAGTTGAAGATCACACTTCTTAAAGTTGCTGAGGTTGAGAAACACAGGCTTACATGATGTTAGACATGTATTGCCTGTAGTACTTGGGTATGAAAGGAGTAGTCCAACAGTAAGGAGTACATAAGTTACAAAAGAATGAGATATCCATTCTGTATGCTGAACAACCAAGTTCAGTGGCTTGGTACCAGGGATGGGTTCTATTTACCTTTACTACCGGTTCACAACAGGGCCATGTGCGCGCATGCGCAAAGTATTCTGATGACGTCGGGCTTGGTGGGCGGAGCCTCCCTCCAGTTTTACTACCAGTTCTATAGAACCTGTCTGAACCGGGGGCAACCCACCACTGCTTGGTACTCAATTGCTTTGAAATTTATTGAATTTGGTACTCAATGCATTTTGACATGAAAATCCTGGTGCTCTATTGCTTGTTTGGTACTCAGTATACAAGCTAGAACTTGTCATTGTCAGCTTCCTTGTGGCTCATTACATTATTTCTTATGAGAAAAGTTTATTTGGTACTGATCATTGTTGGCACTCATCATGCCTCCCAATTAATTATGAGTACCAATGTAGCTAGTTCTCATTGGGACAGAATGTGAGGTTTCACAGTTTTGAAGTAAGGGATTTCGTTATTCCTTCATTATAAAATCTTTGCTGCTTAAAAACAAAATGAATTTTCAGCCATATAAGCCTCTCACCCCAACATTCACAGATACACCTGCATTCCAAAGTGAGTTTTACCATCTCTTTGAAGTTTATTTTGATTGATTGATTAATTAATTCAAGTTTGTAATTGTTTCTTTTAATGCAGACCTTCAATCAAAATAATGCATGGGAAGGAAAAATGACAGATTTTAAAAAAGAGTAATAAATAGTTAAATGTCAGACCAATATATACTGACCTTTTTAGAAAGAAAAAAATAAATCAGCAAAATTAATAAAGACAAATAACAATAGTAGAAACAAAGCACTAAGGAGATAATACCAAAACAAATAACCAAAAGTGCGTATGTATGATTTATTATTTAAATTTATTATGGTCATCCAACTCGAATGTATTCTAGGCATACAATTCATATTAGAACATAGGTAGAACATAGAATCATAAGGCTAGAAGAAGGGTCTTTGGAGGTCTTCTAGTCCAGCCTCCTGTTTTAAGGCAGGCGACCTTGTATCACTCCAGTCAAATAGTTGTCTTATCTATTTTTGAAATCTCCAGTGATGGCACATTCACAATCCCAGGAAACATTGATTAATTGTTTTCACTGTCAGAAAATTTCTCTTTACTTCTAACAGAATAACAGAGTTGGAAGTTCTTCTAATCCAGTTCCCTGCTCAGGCAGGAAGCTGTATATCACTTCAGACAAGTGGTTGTCCAATCTTTTCTTAAAAACTTCCAGTGTTGGAGCAGCCACAACTTCTGGAGACAATTAGTTCCACTGATTAATTGTTGTAACTGTCATGAAATTTCTCCTTAGTTTTAGGTTGTTTCTCTCCTCGATTAGTTTCTATCCATTGCTTCTTGTCCTGCCTTCAGGTGCTTTGAGGAATAGATTGATCCCCTTTTCTTTGCGGCAGACCTTTAGATATTGGAACACTGCTTTCATGTCACCCCAATCCATCTTTCATTTAAACTAGACATATTCTATTCCAGCAGCTTTTCTTTATGTTTTAGCCTCCAGTTCTCTAATCATCTTTCTTGCTCTTCCCTGCACTCTTTCTAGTCTCAACATTTTTTTTTTTTTTTACATTGTTACGACCAAAACTGGATGCAGTACTCCAAGTGTGGTCTTACCAGGGCATTATAAAGTGGTATTGACATGTCAAATTATCTTGATTCTATCAACTGCAGCACACTGCTGGCTCATATTTAAGTGATTGTCTACTAGAACTCAAGTGGACAATTACTTAATATTACTTAATATTAATATAGTCAAGTAACGCCCAAAACCCTTTTCTCAATTTTAAAACCACTTTTTCATTATAGATCTTCCTGATCTTATAAATTCATATTTTTACCAACATCTTTGGTTTTTTATTATTAATCTTAAAACCTGATAGAATACCAAAACCCCCCATATTTTTCATCAATAACTGAATCCTTTTCCAAGGAACTTGTAAAATCAAAACCAAATCATCCCTAAATGCTCTCATCTTAAAAATCTGTTTTGTTTTGTTAGTTCCATTATAGAACAGAACAGAACAGAACAGAATAGCAGAGTCAGAAGGGACCTTGGACCCCCTTAGGCAGGAAACCCTATACCACTTCAGACAAATGGTTATCCAACATCTTCTTAAAAACTTCCAGTGTTGGAGCATTCACAACTTTTGGAGGCAAGTTGTTCCACTGATCAATTGTTCTAACTGTCAGGGAAAATTTCTCCTTAGTTCTAAGTTTCTTCTCTCCTTGATTAGTTTCCACCCATTGTTTCTTGTTCTACCCTCAGGTGCTTTGGAGAATAGTTTGACTCCCTCTTCTATGTGGCAACCCCTGAGATATTGGAACACTGCTATCATGTCTCCCCTAGTCCTTCTTTTCATCAAACAATTATCTTCTTGCATTATTTGATAGATATCTAATACTTCCAAGAACCAAAATAAACAACAAAGGGGACAAAAGACAATCTTCTCTTATCCCCTTGTGGAGTTCATACAGTTTAGTGAAATCACCTTTAACCATAATTGGAGCCTTCTGAGGCATATGTATCAACTTGAATCCTTGAATAAAGTTATTGTCTAAGTTTATATCTTCCAGAATTTTAATTTTAAAAAAGGCCAGTTCAAATTATTAAAAGTTTTCTCTGCATCTAAGATTAATGTGGCTTGTATGATGTTATATTGCAATATTCTTACATACAATACAGTTCTCATATTATCTTTTAATTGTCTTTTAGATAAAAATCCACACTGAATAGGTCTTGTAAATCTTGTAAAACATTTTAAATCTGTAGGCTAAAATTGATGTGAATAGTTTATAATTATTTCAATAAGAAAACTGGTTTGTAATTCTTAGTAGAGGTTAAGTCTTGTCCTTCCTTTGGTAACAATATTGGTTTCTTTCCAGAATTCTGGAATTGCATCTCCCTGTAAAATAGATATCTTTCTCTTTTAAGGGTTTATTAACTCCAAACAACCACCATTTTCTCAATCTCTTCCCTTTTCAAGATCCATTTTTCCTTGTTTTGTGCTTTTATCCTCATTCATTCTCCCTGTACAATCAGATTGCTACACCATGCTTTTTTTTCATACTGTTCATTTCGCTTCTGTATTCAATCCAGCACTGATTAATTACCACACCCTTTTAAAATAACTAATTTCCATTGTATTCAATTTACTTTAATATGTCTTCTGACATACCCAACTCTTGCTTCCATGTAATAATGTGAGGAGAAGCAGTTTGATATTGTCAAGCACTGGAGCATAATTTGTAGCTGTCACCAGCCTATGGATTCCTGCTTTCCTGCACACCAGTTTGCTTTTTCTGACATATATTTTAGTCCTTTTATTTATAAATTGCCTACAGCTTCACTTCTCTACATGTATTCATCAACTCCACAAGATTAATCAGCTCTGCTCCACAAGATCAAATCACATTCAGTCATATCTATTACATCCTTCTCCTTTATTATACATGTTTTTCTTTCATTCATTTTATTTTTTTGGTTTGTGGTATTTGCTACTCTTACATTCCAAGTCATGATTTCCATATGACATTCAATTATCAATCTTTATTACAATCATGGATTATTAACATTAGAAGGGTGGAATACATATAACATATATTTGTTAATTAAGGGGGATTTTGTATTATGATAGATTTACATAGCCATATATGAACTTTTATGGGGTTTTTTGTGTTTGCTTAGAACTTTTAAACCTTTTAATATATTTTTAAAAAATATTTTTGTTTTTATATTTTTTTAACTTTAAAAATCTTTTTTAAATTTTTAGTTTTTAAAATTATTGTTTATATTCCACCCTTCTTATACTGGCTTATGACCGTAATAAATATTTGATTGATTGATTGATTAAAAACACAATCATGATCAGATAAATCCATAGACTTTATGGTGTTAATCGATTTAAGTTTTTACGAATTATTTTTCAGTAGAGTATTGGATGAGTAGATTTGGTGGTACCTTTGCTACTTACGATATTCTCTACTAATGGTAAGGACAGTAATGGTCAATTTTTGCAGATCTTGGCCAAGACGGGACAAGGGCAGCCAGAACTCAGTTTTATTCCCAGGATGTTCACACTATTCCGTGCATGCTAGGATCTTTAATCTAAAAATTTTCTTGCAAGCCAATACACCATCCAGGAAGGTATATGCAGTGCCTTGATCTGCACATTTATACTAATAGGCAATTCATGTGATTTATTTGCTTACTAAAGTCACAATTCTGTGTTAGAGAGTAATACATACAGGTTTTATTTTTACTGGTACTCATTATATGTGTACATTTCTGAAAAGAAAAGGGAGAGAGGGAAACCAAAAGTAAGTGTGTGGAGGCCTGAGCAATAGCACCACCTGGTGGCTAGATCTAAAAAGAGAGCTATAATGATAATTGGTAATTTTTAAAGCTTTTGATAAATGAGGTAAGATGTGGGAAATGCCTGAATCCATGTATTCTAATTCCTTCAGATACTAATACTATTTACTGAAAAGATATAGAGGACACGTAATACAGGGAGTCTTTGCTTAATTCGTTCAGTTTTAATAAACTTACAAGTCCTCAAAATTCCAGCCATCGTAGAGTCCTCACAGTCATGTGATTACAGGTGTTTGGCAACTGATTTGCACATAACAACAGTTGCGGCACCCCATGGCCATATGATCACTATTTAAGATCTTCCCTGCTAGCTTTCCATAAGCAATATCAATGTTTGGGTCACTTTGGAAAATCCCCCCCTCCCTCCTGCATGCATGCTACAGTATTCCATTTCCACCAACTCGTTCATGGCTCGTGCTGGCCCTCCAAGAGCTATCCTTGCCTCCCCCATGCCCCTCCCCCCAGCTTTTCCCTGGGATTCCTACCACTTCCCGTTTAGCAATTTACATGTTTTGGGTTTACGATAGCACCCAGAATTATCAGGATTGCTATTGCTAAACGATGCACTCATATGGCAATGCGCTTTACAACTCTATCACTTAGCCATAGCAATCCTGGTCCCAACTGCTGTTGTAACCCAGAACTCTCTGTTCCTATGACAAAGCTTTCATTGGATGCTGCTAAACATTTGCTTTCATTATGGAAGGTAAAAACATAAATATCATGGATTTGTTTTTTACTTATATCCCACCTTTATTTTTTGTTAATTTAAATTGGTGAACTTAGTGCTAGTTAATAAGATATTTACTAGTTCAAAATCACCCAACCTGTTTTCATGCCTAAGGGAAAACTAGAACTCAAAATCTCCTAGCACTTTAATCACTAGAGCAAATTCATTTCATGCTCAGTTTTTGTTAAACATGACAGTGGCACACAAGTTTCTTTGATTGTGCACAGGTAGAAGTTAGCCACGATCCCCTATAAAGTGCCTTCCAAAAGATTTTGCTAGCTGATGGATGATGGGATCTGAAGTCAAATCACATCTGGAGGATGCTAAGTTCAGAAACCCACAAAAGAAATGTCAAGTGATACTTTTTAAGGCAAAGATTGTATTGCCACAGAGAAGATATGAAAAGAGAAATGTATTCTGTTCCCTTTTTAATTGCCTCACCTCCCCCTCCTCTCCAGACCGACAAGATCTGGAACAACCAGACCGAGTGGATCAATTGCAAGAACCTCTGTTGGAAGCCCTGAAAATCTATGTGAGAAAGAGGAGACCTAGCAAACCCCATATGTTCCCCAAAATGCTGATGAAGATTACAGATCTACGGAGCATCAGTGCAAAAGGTAAGGGCAGAGTTTCAGACCCTGCAGGGAAAAAAAGTTTTCTTTTTTCTTAAATCTGTAGGGAGGCAGATTTTTTAAAAATTAATTCATAACTAAAAACTGTCTGATATGTATGGCCGTGTTGAACATCATGTTCAAAACTGAAGGGTAATTCTAGGAATACAGTGAGCATTCTTCAATATATACCACACTTTGGAAAACTTTTGAAAGTAAATTATATTGAGTGTTGCTTGCACCCTTAGTATATTCTCTTGGCTTGTTTAGGAAATGCTCAGGTTATGTTTTGTATTGGTAAATCACCTGTCTTCCCTCCCGCAGGTGCTGAAAGAGTGATAACTTTGAAAATGGAAATTCCTGGATCAATGCCACCCCTCATCCAGGAAATGCTGGAGAACTCTGAAGGCATGGATTCTTTGGGGGGCTCAACAGGAGCTCCTTCCCGTATCAGTAGCTTAGCTCCACCTCCAGGCAGCTGCAGCCCTAGCCTCTCGCCCAGCTCCAACAGAAGCAGTCCTGCCACACATTCACCGTGACCATGCTGGACCCCTGAACTAGTTGCTTGATCCCCCCTTCTGCGCACATCGGTCTTTTGCTTCCTGGGTCTGCCTGGACACACGTCTCAGGAGGAGCAGAGGTGGGGTGAAGGCGTAGCAGTGGGACTGACTGTTGCTGCAGGCATTCTTCTCCTCCCTCTCTGTACCACATCAGTCCTGCCCAGACCCAAGAGGGAAGGCTTCTTATGTTCTCCTATACCAGCACACTATTTCTCACTTAGCTGTTCAAACAAAACAGGGTTCCGTGTGCAAGGAAGGGCCCTGTTCTCATGGAGGGAAGGCACAGACTTTCTCTGAAGGCAGATCAGCAAGTAGATCTGAAGGACGGCTGCTCAAAATTAGGAGCAAGATTTTTTTTTCAAAAGAAACTAGTTACAGAAAAAAAAACCTTCTCTGTGGCACGTATCCCTCCCCCACTCTCTTCTTCAGTCTTGTCATGCACACATACATGCCTCCACAAAAGTGTTGCTTGCTTCTTGTTGCAGTGAAAATGAAGTAGTGGGGGTTTTTTTTCCCAGTTGAGTTTGCATTTCAGATATTTCGGGGAAAGGGTATAATGTTTTTTTAAAAAATTGCTCAAACCTTCTCTTCATCCTCAATTTGGCCGTGCAATCTTACCTTTGTCTCTTTTCTTGCCGCCTCCTACTTGTCCACTCACATATGCCTAAAAATGTCACCAGCAATTTTTTTAAAAAAAGAAACATTAGTTCTTCAGTTTCTTTTTTTAAAGTACAGTAAAACATGGAGGGAAGGATTCATTTAAGAAAGAATAACTATTATATATACAAATATCTATGAATATATATAAATACATTTGAAAAAAAAAACTTTGTACAAGTTTGGAATTTGAAGGGTTTCTAAAAAAAGAGGGTGGCAAAGAAAAGGCCAGAAAAACCAAACCAAATCATGGAGATTCATGTGTGGAGTTGGTCATGCTTCTCATTATAGATTCAAAACTGTTATGTAGCCAAGTACTTGAATTTGGTAACCACTCTTCTACGAACACTATGCCAGGAATGACTGAGAAATCTGGCTTATTGGTAAGTAATCACGAGTTCTAATGAATTCTGGTCAGCTTAAATAGCCAGAAATGCCCAGTGGCAAAGAGGTTATCACTGCATTCAAAACAATTCTTGGCTGATCTCTTGTTTAAGAATACAGAGTCTGCAGAGCAAGGCATATTTAAAAAGAAAATCCACAAGCCACTGCTCTAATTTGCTTTGGTCCTATTTTCAGAGAGAGCTAACTGAAAGCAATAGGACAACATTCCTTGCTGCCAGAATTTCCTGGAGTGTGTTTTAAGTTTCAGTGTTTCCTGCAACTGTGGCTAGTATGAGTTAAAGATACTTAATTTTGGCTAGTCATGTACTTAATGGCTGCTTTTATTTGCAATATATCTTGTTTGGATCACATGGATACAAAGCTAAAATCTCACCATTCTCTTTTTTATTTCTATTTTGGCAAATGAAAAATTGAGAAATGAGGGGGTTCTGAACATTGTGATAAAAGTATTGTTTTGAGCAAAATGCTTTGTTTTCTAAAGGTGTGTGTCAGTGTGTGTGTGTGTGTGAGTGTGTCAAAAACACCTACGTTGTTACTTGTTCTTACTAACAAAAAGCCAATTTCTCCCTCTCACTCAACTCCTGATTCTTATTATAAAATACTTTTGAAAGAGCAACTTTAATTTTGTAAGGCACAGAATTTTATCAGGGGAAACATACTTACTTTTTTTCTTCAGTCCACTGACCTTTGTTCACTTCATTGGTTTCTAAGTTGAATAATTTGTATCCTCTTTTGGAAGAGAAAGATTAAGGGCCGGGGTCTAAAGAGTTAACGTTGGAAGCTTTGTGGTGGGTGAAGGGTCTCTTTTCTATAATGATTCACATAATCTGAATTGCCGCATCACCAACTTGTTGTGTCTTGTGATCAAAAGGCTTGGGGAAAGATTGCTTTTGAAAGAGAATAAGGCAGATAGACAATCACTGTAGTCCTTGAACATAATAGGACTAGCTTTTGAGTTCCATCCATAACATGATACCACTAGATTTCATCCCTTTGCCTATTTATCTGGAAATAAGGGTTGTTTTCCAACTGTACAATCCTACTTGTGTTTATGTAGAAGTAAATCAAAGTGATGAGCAGGGGGTTGGACTAGATGACCTCCAAGGTCCCTTCCAACTCTGTTACTGTTGTTATAGGCTTCATTCCAAAGCCGTAGAAATAGGAATGAGGTCCTTCAAACTCCCGCCCCATTAGGTTCAAAACAACTGCCTTGGGTGGATTCCTGATTTATCTATAGGGAACACACCATGTTTCAAAGATGTAGCCAGCTCCGAATCTCTTTAGGGCAGTCTGAGGAGATTATCAGTATGGTTTATTCTAGGGTTTGGGGTTTTTTTTTTGTGTGTTGAGATTTGATTGTCTTAGAATATGTGATATGACATTTAAACAGAATTGTGGAGGGTGGGAGTAGCAACAAGATTTTTATTCTCAAAAAAGCCCCTCCCTCAGGTTGCAAGGCATGTGCTTCACACTTCTCAGATATGTATATAAAGTTGTTATTTCATATAAAAAGATCCTGGTGAGTTTAAATCCTCCCATAATTGTTGAATTGGGTGGGGATGGACTTGTGAGATGTCTTATGTGTGCCCCTTAAAAGAAATGACTGTCTGGTGTAAATGAATTACCTTATTCTCAGCTCTATTGCATTAAGTGATCAGCAATTTATTGAAGGGTTAAATCAGCAGGGATTAGCCATGGTAAGTCAATGGACCTTTGCTATGGTAAGGTAATATACTTTTAAATATTAGATGCCAAGCAGTAACAATAAAGGAAACCTGTGTTTGTTACAATTATATATTGAAATTTCAGAAATATTTGGCTGGTTGTTCTGGAAATAGAACTAGACTGATGATAAGGTGAATCCACATCTTAGTTCTTATTACACCAATGTGCAACAAACTTGCACATAGCAAAGGATAGCATCTCTAAGGGGACTAAGGTGGAATTTGATGGCACAATGAGCTTTATTTAGTTTAGAAATCTGTTACTAAATGAACTACAATTACCCAATTGTATTGTCTGAAAGGTGCTTTTTCAAGAGGCAAATGGACTTTCTGTTTTTTCTTTGAAAATGTTTTGCTTCTCATTCAATAAGTTTCTTCAGCTGAAGAAACTTCTTGGATGAGAAGCGAAACATCTTCAAAGAAAAAACAAAGTCCAGTTGCCTCTTGAAAAAGCACCTTTGGGACAACCATGACTTGGATGACTGAGAATTTCCATAGTCATTTACCCAATTGTATGTTTTTGACAGCAAAGGCAGAAATACTCTGCATGACAATTCAGTGCTGTCCAATCAAAGTGGAGAAACATGATCATATTTAACATATCATTAATGTATGGATTAGTTACAAAAACCAGATGAGTTTGTCAATATTGTTGCAGTCTGGGATTAATAAATAGGTTTACAAGTAAGTAATTAGTATACTCTTTCCAAATCATCTGCCTGACCTATGTTAAGAAATCACAAAATATTGGACTAGAAAGATTGTGCTTCATCAGAACAAGACAATTCTTATCAGATTTTCTCCTATTTAGAGTTGTGTGAAATCCTTTAGTTCATCTTGGAGCATTCTAATAGGAAACCAACAGCTTTTAACATTGTCATTCTTCTGAGCATCTCTTTGATGAACCTGAAATTGAAATGTAAGGAGGATGAAGAAGTTTAGGTTCATAAACCCCGTTTCCTCAAGCTGCTGACCTCCAGTTATGTTGGACCGTAATCTTCCAACATGGGCATTCTTCTAGCATTTCAAAAACACTTGAGAGAAAAATCAGTTTTCCTCATGCTTTTTTTTTTTTTAGAGAACATGACATTTGAGAAAACGTGGAAGGTAATCTTTTAAGTAGCAAAATGCACTGTTTGTGGTTGGGACATCTGACTCCCAAGGCACCTAACGAAGCAGGAGGGTGCTCTTGAATATTTTATAAAACTCAACTCCAGTAGAGGAGAAATGATGGTGCAGCAGCTTTATTCCAATACTCCACCAGAACTTTTTAAGAATGATTCAGGCAGAAATTCTGCAAGATAAATTTTCTCTGGTGTGAAGAGAATAAAATGGAAGAAAAAATAACAGAAATGTCCATTTTATAATTGCTATTAGTTTCCTGGATACTCCAAAATTGTGACTGGAAAAGTAAAGTAAAATACTGATTTAGATATACCACTTCACATTGTTTCACACTCAGAAAATATACCATATTTGTTTGACCATTGACATTTCTCAAATGATGAGATTACGTTTGTTTTCTTCTGTTACAGGCAGTGGCATTTTCTTTTCCTTCCATTGGTGTTTCTCATAAAACCTTTTAAAGATTGGAGGTTGACAATCAGAATAGTGTTTTGTTGCACAGAGCCATGACAGCAATCCTAATATGGATCAGTTGTCAAGTGGGACAAGTCACCTCTTGTGTTTCTGTGCTTTTACATTTGTTTGCTCATGGCTACCCCGAGGCAGGCAGATTTGATGGAGCAGGCCTACTGGGCTGCACCCCTTTAATGTAAGGATGAGCAATCTCTTTTTGTTAGGATCTTGCTTATCATCTATTAATGTTGATTCAGAAGAATCACAGGGTTTAAAGTAATCCAGTCATATGATTCAAGTAGATGGAGTTGGAAATTTTGTCCCTTTCTATTTTTTTTTTTTTTTTTTTTGGTGGTGGGATTTATGAATCCATTTAGACTTTTCTGAGGTTTTTCACCTCTTATCGGTTGTACAGTATGATGGGGTGGGCATGCTTAGTGACCTAAGTGATATAGAGGTTACTCAACTTTGCTTTAATGATGCCAGCAGCTAGAACCAAGTTCAGGAAGAGATGGAGTTCAGCAATCCACCTGTTCAGCAGTGGACATGGAAATGGGGCTAGGGGTATTTTATTATTTAATCAAGATGGAATAATTTCAGCTCTGGAGACGAAGTTCAGCTCTTCCTTTAAAAACTGCAATTCTTAGCACTGGCAAGCATACGTTGTAAGAGTTGGTAAAAAAAATGAAATAAGGTGTCAACACCTCTTTTCAGTGGGGGTGACAAATATGGAGCCTATCTGGGTACATGGTGGGGAAGGAAAGAATTATTTCTACATTGTGCTGCAGTATGATAGTAAGTATAGCAAATACTTGTGTCAACAGATTTCATCCGATTTCAGTCTGTATAAGTCTGTATAAGTGCTTTTGGTTTGAACTGTTCTAAAGCCAAGCTTAGCTGAAATTCAGTTACACTGTACTGAAATCTTTGTTTCTGAAGACTCAGAGGTATATTTGGTACACAGTAGTGTAACATGGCTATAGTTGCCACTCATTAATCAAGCTTCTTTGCCAAATGCTGTGAGAAGGTAAATTACCAAGTATGCAATATCTCATTTATGCACAATGCTCCTTCCCTCAATATAGGACCACAGGTAAACAAGTTTAACATTGAGACTACAAATGTATCAGAATTCAGCTAGAGTGTATTAGTGTGTCTTGATTAAGCCTATTCCACAAAAACAATTTTCTGCAAAATCAATTTAAAAATTGGTACCTTGGTCGCTATTTCTGTTATTTCAAAATGTCATTGCCTTGGTCCAAACGGATCCTATTCTGTAGCATCCTCCCTCTCTCTGGGCAAAGGGAAAGATGGTGGGGTGGGGAAAACAACAGACTGACAAATGCTGATTTCCTGTTGAAGGTCAGGGTGAAACAGTCAATGGCACCCCTGCTGCTTCACCAGACTAGTAAGGAAAATGCAAAGCTGTCAGGCCAGCATTTCCCTTTCAGGACCTGAAGCTTGAGCTTTTCCAGCTGAAAAGAACTTCAAAGTAGGTTCTTTTGCGCTGTGGCTGAGCCAAATGTACATCATCTCTGCAGGCCTAAAGAAGACAATAGTATGGGATTACTATACACAAATGTGGAATCAATCCAAGAATGATGAGAACACCCCTTGTGTAAGTCACAAAATGATGAACAGTAGCCAAAGATGGGGAGGGCTTTAAAATCAAAGAAATGTAAAGAGAATTATGAGAATGGTTGTGATAAACTGCCTCTGAAATAAGAGTAAACTGAAGATTTGAACTGGAGAATAACTCTCTGATGAGGGAATGTGATGAGCCTTACATCTGCCTTAGAAAGAATGGTATTTGAATTCTTTATCTTTGGAAGCCTGGACCCAGTATTTTACCAAGCTAATGGAAGACAGAGCTATCAGACTTCCAGACTATCAGAAGCAGATGAGATACACAAGCCTTTTGGCAACATCAAAGTCAGTCTGAATTTTCAAAAATGGAATTATTCAGAAGCCACTTTTAAATAATCTGAAGGATTGATAGTTGCACCACCAGCTTTCTTCTTATACATTGTGCAGCATTCAGTTGTGCAAATAGGGACAGCAAATATTTCCCAGCAGTTTAGCAGGAGAAAAGAATGGCCAGAAAAACTCTTGGAGAAAAATCATCTGAAGAGCTGCAGCTGATCCATTGTGGATGACTGAAAAAAAATACTTCCTGCGAAGTAAACAGACTTTAGGAGGAATACAAGGTAGGCAGGTTCCAGGGAGTGAGCTCACTGAATGAATGAACAGGGATTAAATAGATATTTTTCCAAAGAAATCTCCTTCGAAGTCAAGCACTGTACTGCACTAACCTGAGAGCCTCAGAAGGAACAAGAAATAAAAGCTGGTTGTTAGTGATGCTTTAGTAACCAAAAACGCAAAAAAACAAAAACAAAAAAAAACAAGTACTCTACACTCATGATCTGCAATGTGTACAGCATGCTATTCTTGCCCCCAACCGATTGGCATATGGTTTCATGAAATGTAAGCTTGTAGCAGGCCAGAGGAATGGAGAGTCAAAGGTTTGGAGCAATGGTCAGCCATAATTCAGCCAATAAGACAGTAGGTTAAAAAGTTTCCAAGTCAGTTTCAATGCTTAGTGACTTAATGGAACAATCCATCAAGTTTTCTTGACAACCGAATAAAAGTGATGTGCCATTATCTTCCAATATATTTTTTTCAACTTTCCAAACTAGACCTATTACAGGTAGTTCTCGACTTGCAATCCAATTGGGATCAGAATTTCAGTTACTAAGCAAGGTGGTTGTTAAGTGAATTGCCCCCAATTGTACAACCTTTTTTGCCACCATGGTTAAGTGAATCTGTGCAATCATGAAGCGAATCACACTTGCTCAGTGAATCCTAATTCCCCCATTGACTTTGCTTGTCAGAAGCGACTTGGGAATGTTGCAAATGGCAACCACATGAGCCCAGGATGCTGCAATTGTCATAAATACATGCCAGATACCAAGCACCTGAATGTTGATAACGTAAACGTGGGGATGCTGCAAACCAGTTCAGTGCCATTGTACTTTGAAAGGTAGCTAAACAAATAGTTATGAGTCGAGGACTACCTGTATTTGAATTATTGGATATGCAAATTGTGTTGGTAAGAACCATTTACTTCTGGAGTTATGAGAGTTATTTAAATGATGGGCTGCTGGCATGAGTTGTTCCTCATAAGACCTGGTTAAAAATGTGTTGGCCAAAGCATGCTGAGCTGAATAGAAGGGCTTTTAATTGAATCCAGTGAGAGATTGAAATGAAAACCCTGAAGTGGGAATCTCAAAAGACTTGCCTTCTATAGGAAGAGTTGGGAGCCTAAAACTTGTGAAAAAAGTATTACTGCTGGTGTTTTGTCAAGGAATTGCAGATAATTCTTTTCAAAAGCACAAATTTCAGGTTTCTTAAATAATGGGGAATGTTAATTCCACCAAAACCTACTGGGAAAGAAGTAAATTCTTAACTTGTGTCACTTACAAATTCTCCTTCAGAAGATGGAAGAAGTCTTAAAAGCGTTTACTCTGACTTGATACCAACTAATAAAGATAGTTGAGGAAGTAGAAATATTGGAAAGTGGGTATGGGATAATGATAATGTAACCATGGAATCCTTGGTTTTCAGTCAGTTAAATATATTCAAATTCATATCTTGGATTTCAGGCCATCTGGTTTTAATAAATTTAGTAAAAATTAGAATTCCATAGCAGGGAGAGCAAATGGAAAAGGAACTCTAATTTACTCTGAATTCCTACAAAAGGAAACACTAAAAGAAAATTACAAATTACAAAGAAATAGGACAGTAGAAGAAACCAGTGCTGCTACACAAAACTTGCAGAGATTTGAAACAAGCGAAAGGAAATGTATAGAAGATGGAAAACTGAACATGTCACCAAGAAAGAAGAACTGTAGAGATGGGATCAAGAAAGCTGAAGCTCGGTGTGAGTTTAGCTCAGTGAGGAATATTTCAAACATCACAAAGGTCATCCTTAGATGTCTTCAAAATAGAGAAAAAAGAATCCACATGCTGGTTGCTAAATGAAATTAACAAATACAGAGATGCTCATCTATTTTGGCTCAGGCTTCTCCAACAAGACGTAGTTGTGAGAAGCAAGACAAAGAGGCAGGTGAAGCACGAGGTTAAATAAAATAATTTTAACAACAACAGCTCAGTATATCTGTTTATTTCAAACAAGTTTAAATTTCAGGCACAGATGAATTATTGAGTTATTGGGAAGTCTTGCTGATGTCTGATGAACCCTCCATAGATGGCGTTTGAGAAATCCTGGAGATCTGTTGAAACGTTAATGACTAAAGAAAGTAGTTATCAAAATTTGTAGATAGCACACAAAATATTGGGATAAAGCAGAAATGGCATTCAAAATGGGATGTGCAGGACTTTTGAGTCCTAAAGGCTTCAGGGAGGGAGTGGCCATGCTTGTTGTACCTGTTGGTGTCTGCTTAAAGAAGCCACGCCTTTTTGTGGACTTGTATTCTTAACTATGAACCCCATGAAAACTTTTTCCTAAATAAAAAAAAATAAGAAAACAATGACTGTCTCAGATGTGTTTTAGGTCTCCCACTCAGGTATTTTTAAAGGATGACCGTCGGTTTCAATTGTGGATCTTATTCATAAAATGTCAGCCTTTCCACTCATAAGCCAATGTTTCCCTGCCAGTCCTTTCCAATTAAACTGACTGTGCTGAAATGATGGGAGTTGTAGCTCACTAGTCCTCATGTTTCCTTGTTACATTACGCCCAATCGGGTGGGTTCTAAATTTTTTTACTACCAGTTCTGTGGGCATGGCTTGATGGTCATATAACAATTCTTTAGGATTTAGCAACTGCTTACAGAGCTGTACCGGTCTACTCATTTGTTTTTGGAGGCACTGGTCTACCCATTTATTTTTGCAGGCACCAGTCTACTCATTTGTTTTTGGAGGCACTGGTCTATCCTTTTATTTTTGCAGGCACTGGTCTACTCATTTGTTTTCTTTTAATACTGATCAGCTGTAGGGCGGCCCTTTGAAGCCCAGCGGCAAGAGTTTAAACAGTTTTTTTCCCTCTAGCCGATCAGCTGAGACTCAGGAGGCAGCAATAGATTGGGGGTGGGGCCAAATAAAAGGTAAGAATAATGCAGAGGGGGCGGGGGGGGGTAGAACCGGTTCAGTGATGTCATATCGTCACCGCTACCGCTCGGCAGAACTAGAACCGGGCAGAACCGGGAGGAACCCACCACTGCACCCAATCCTACAGCAGCAGTACAGAACAGAGAATAAAATAGAACAGAACAGAAAATGGAACAAAACAGAATAGAATAGAATACTTTATTGTCTCTTTGAATGTACAGTAATTGGCATACATTAAAATGAAGTTACATTGCATACACCTCTCAAAGGGTCGCCACCTTTAATATAAACATAAACATGACAAGATGAATAAATACAAAATTATGCATGTACCCACATCAGTGGTGGGTTGAGGCGAACCGGTAGCAGCAGCTGCAGGTGGCTCCGCCCACCTGGACATCATCAAATATGCTCTGCGCATGTGCAGAAATGGCACGTGTGTAAGCGAGAATGCATGCACGAGCAAACCAGTAGGAAAGGTAAGTGAAACCCATCACTGACCCACATATATAAGACACAGAAACAACACAGTCTAGTTCAGATGTATACATGTACATAGCAAGAGAAATCTTGCAAGTTTACCAGACAGATGGCATAGGGAACAAAGCTGTTACAGAATCTGGAAGTCCTGCTAGAAATACTTCAAAACTTCCTTCTAGAGGGGAGCAACAGAAACAGACCGTGGAGTGCAGGAGCGGGTTCTACTTACCTTTATTACCGGTTCTCAGTGGGGCTGCTTCACTCGCGCGTGTGCTCTTCTGCACATGCGCAGAAGCATTTTGGTGATGTCGGGGTTGGTGGGCGGGGCTTCCCACCGGTTTTACTACTGGTTCTATAGAACCGGTGCGAACCAGGGGCAACCCACCATAGGTGAAGTGGGTGTGGGGTCTCTAACAATGCTTTGAGCTCTAAGCAAATAGCACTTATAAGCAGTATCCTGAATGACAGGAAGCGAGCTTCCTATAATTTGTCCTTACCACACTCTGAATGGACTTTCTATCTAAGGCACTGCTGCCACCAAACACATTGCACATTGCACAGTGATGCAGTTTGTTAAAACACACTCAATCGTGCCTCTGTAAAAAGTGGCCAGGATAGAAGGAGAAAGAGGTGATGATCTCATCCAACGCAGGAAATTCAGATGCTGATTTGCATGCTTCACTAAGGATGACGTGTGGAGAGATCAGTTCTGTTTGTTACTTATCTGCACCCACAGATACTTAATACTGTTGACCACCTCTACAGCTGCATCCTTGATACTGAGTGGAGTATGACCATGCCGACTCTTCCTAAAATCTACAATGATCTCCTTTGTTTTATTAACATTTAGAACCAGGTTACTTTTATTGCACCGGTCCACCAGAGCCATCACCTCTCCCCTATATGCATCTTCATTGTCATCCCGGATAAGACCCACCACTGCTGTGTCATCCGCATACTTTACAATATGATTTGTAGCAGATTTGGCACAGCAGTCGTGGGTCATCAAGGTGAACAGTATCGGACTCAAGACAGAGCCCTGTAGGGAACCTGCACTCAAGGAAATGGAGTTGGTGACTTTTCTTCCAACTCACACAAACTGAGGCCTATCAATAAGGAAATCCAGTATCCAGTTACATAAAGGATATTAAAACCTAATAGGCCCAGTTTGTTCACCAAATGTTGAGGAATGATTGTGCTGAATGCCAAACAAAAATCAATAAACAGCCTTCGCACATGAGTATTCTTCCCCTCCAGATGTGCCAAGCTAAGATGAAGTACATAGGGAAGTGCTTCATCTATAAAGTGGATCTTCCGACAGGCAAACTGTAATGAGTCAAATGTAGGGGGAAGGCATGAAACCATATAGTCCTTTACCAATTTCTCAAAACAGTTCATCATAATGGAAGTGAGGGCAACAGGATGGTAATCATTAGGACATGTTATGATAGTCTTTTGGGGCACTGGTACAGTGATGGCAGTCTTAAAACATGATGGAACCATGGCCTGATGCAACGAGAGGTTGAAGATGTTTGTGAGAACAGTGGCCAGCTGGTCAGCACACTCCTTAAGTACTTGCCCAGGGATATTATCAGCACCAGCAGCTTTCCGAGTATTGACTTTCAGCAGGATCTTCCGAACAGGAGTTGTATCAGACCTGAGTGCCTGCCCATCGGAGAGTGAAACAGCCTTCCTTGCTGGAACATTGTTTGTGGCCTCAAACCAACAACAACAACAACAAATAACTATTTAGCTTGTTTAGAGAATCCATGTCCCCCTTACATGTCAGGGAAGCTGCCTTATAGTCAGGAATGACCTGAATACCTTGCCATATGCGTCTCGGGTCCATAGGATCTTGAAAAATGTTTCTGACTACAGGCCTGCTTTGCTGTTTTTATAGCACGTCTCAAATCAGCTCTTGCTATTCTAAGTGCTCCACATCACCTGATTTGAAATTTCTCACCTTCAGAATCGCACGGACCTCCTGTGACATCCAAGGTTTCTCATTTGCTCATATGTTGCTTACGTTAACATGTTGCTTAAGTTAACATGTGACACACACATGTATCTAAGGCCTTGTCTAGTTTTGCCTTAAAAGATTGGTCTGAATATGCAGAGTCAGAAATAACTAATGAATTTATTGTTGCTACTTTTGGCCACAAGAGGCCAGCAAAAACCCTTAGAAGTTGCTGACAATATGAGGAAGATATATTTCTAACACTTGAGCAGAGGGAGTCTCTGAGGGACAAATCTTGCAAGGCAGTATTCTTCCTTGTTAACCTGCAAATCCCAACCGCACAGGTAAGAAGGAAGAAGATGCTGCTATTTAGGTTGGAAGATAGACATGTAGCAGAATAGCCAAGGGGTAGGGTCAAAAAAGTCAAAATGACAACCACTACACTGTGATGGAAATTATGCCTGGTTTACCTGTGTGTCACAAGTGCAAAGCTTATGTGACATCATCGTGTGAACAGGCATCACACTATTGTGGCTGCCATCTCAACTTTTTTTACCACACCTTGTGGACCCATCTGGGATGCAGCCCCTTTCCCCAATGAATTCAGTTATCAGTTATCCAGACTTCCTCCCAGGTATTCTTAGCAGGGCGTCCAGTTCCTTCTAGACAGCTTTCTATGCAGCTGTCCATTTAATATCGCTGTTGAATTAAAGCTTGCCTATGTTTGTCACAAGCTTAGGCAAAGCATGGACTTTGATTTGCAAAGAGCCAGTTCGGTCTACTAAAACACCAGACTAGAAGGCAAGAGACTGTCAGTTCAAGTCCCACTTTAACCATGAAAGCCAACTGTCTGACTTTGGGACAGTTGCTCCTTCAGTCCAACCCACCTCATGGGGTTGTTGTGGAGAAAGGAGGAGGAGGAAGAAGGTGGGTGGGATGCATCCAATGCCTCGACTTATTTCTAAAAAATCTACCAAGTCTTCTATTGTTTAGTCCATGCCAGCTGTAGAAATACTTGACCTTGAGGAAATAGAGTATAGTAAAAACATTCCTAAAGAACAAAAAGCAGCCTGCTTGTTGTCCTCCAGGGTTGTGATGACTATGCCCCAAATCTCATCTATTGTCCTTGCCATTTTCTAAAAACAACAGGTGGATGGCTTTTACCTCACAAACAAGTTTACCCAATGTGAATAACAACTACTGACTCTCTCTTGGGAGGGTGGGAGCAGAAATACACAGTATTGTCTTCTATCCCAACTGCACCCCAACCAGACTACAGGTAATCCTCAACTTATAACCATTCATTTAGTGACCATTCAAAGTTACAACAGCACTGTAAAAAGTGACTTATGACTGTTTTTCACCCATAGTCAAGTTGTTAAAATTTAGATTTTTGTCAACTGGGTCATATTTATGATGGCAGTGATGTCCCTGGATCATGCTTACTGGCAATGACTTAAAACCACAAAACCAGTGAATTAAATCAGTGAAGACCTGGACGGAGGAGGCAAAGTTAAAGCTACAGGCCTGCCTTGACTGCACTGATTGGAATGTTTTTGAAAGTACCTCTGCAGACTTAGATGAACTCAAAGATACTGTAACATCATATGTCAGCTTCTGTGAAGACCTATGTGTACCCACCAGGAACTTGCTAATATACAGTAACAACAACCTTGGTTCACAGCTAAACTTAAGCAGATACGTCGTTCCAAAGAGGAAGCCTACAGAAAAAGTGATAAAATGCTGTACATTCAGAGCCAGAAATGTATTAACAAGGGAGATCAGAGCAGCAAAAAGAAGCTACTCTGAAAAGCTAAGAAATCAGTTCTCAACAAATGAACCAGCAAACATGTGGAAACTCTTAAAAATATCACCGGCTATGGCAAACCTCCTTTCCAGGCTGAAGGAAATCAACAACTGGCAGATGACCTGAACGTGTTTTATTGCATTTTTGAAAGGAAACTACAGCCACCTATCTCCACAAC